GGGGCTTCGTCTGACATACTTTGGACATGTTGCCAGGAGGGATGGGTCCTTGGAGAGGGACATCATGCTTGGGAGGGTGGAGGGACGGTGGAGGGAAGACCCTCTATGAGATAGATTGATTTGGTGACTGGGGTAATCGGGATGGGTGTGTCAAAGGCAGTGCAGTTGGCGCAGGATAGAGCAGGGTTTAGGGCTGTTGTGCATAGGTTTGCTATGAGTCGCAAACGACTCGACGGCACATAACAACAACAACAAATCCATCCTATTCATCAATTTTATCCTCTCCTGGTTGTGCATATACAATTTTCACTTGAAATTATTATAGGAACAACATAAGCATGCCCACTCTTAGTTTGGTTTGGGGTTTATTTTCCCATCCAAGAAATCTTTCTATTATCATTAGGTACGTGGTTCATTAACTCTTTTGTTAAGATTATGTGACTGTAAGTAAAATAGTATATTTCTCTCATAATTGGTTGATGTGATGAATTACATAAATAAAATTTTTCTCTAAGGGTAGGCCATCCTTTTAATCTTAAGTTGAATTTTTTTAAGTCGTGATGACATGGAAATTTTTGTTTCTTTTTATTTCGCTGGAATAAATTATCTGTTAGGCTATTTAGCCTTTTATATCTGTAGGCATAAGTGAAAGTCCCTAAAATTTTTATTTGAATTGTCTAATTAACAAGTTATAAAATGAGTTGATTATTTTTTTCTTTAAAGTGTTTGTATTTTTTTTAATGGAACACTTCTTGCTGATCTTCTCTGTATCGTTCCAATTTTAGTATATGTGCTGCCGAAGCAAGCACAAAGTGTTTGTATTTTAAAAGACAAATTATTCACTCTTGCAAGTTTAATAGAATATGGGCTAAAGGAAAAGAAAGTAGAAATGAAGTATTAAAGATTGAGTTGTATGCAAACCAATGTAAAATAATTTTTTTAAAAAAAGATTGAAAAAATTTTTAAAAATTGAGTTGGTGGAGGTGTTGGTAATAAGTCCTTTAGATTTTTGCTACAAACAAGTTTGTATTATCTGTATATTTCAGGTTATTGATGAGTCTTCTTTCATGTTCTTTATATAGTCCAGCTTATTGAATTATTTGCTCAGCATACAAATTGAATAGGTATAGTGAAAGGATCCAGCCTTGGCATCAACCTTTCCTGATTTTAAACCATATAGTAGCCTCTTGTCTATTCTACCAACTGCTTCTTGGTCCAGGTTCTGTATGAGCACAATTAAGTGTTTTGAGATTCCCATTCTTTTCAGTGCTACCCATATGTATTCTGACCCAGATAGTCATATGCCTTTTCATAGTCAATAAAAAACAAGTAAACATCTTTCTGACAGTCTCTGCTTTCTTTCAGTCAAGGTCCATCAGACATCAAAATTATGTCTGTTATTTCATAACCTCTTCTCAGTCCTGCTTGAATTTATGGCAGTCCCTTGGCAATATACTATTTCAGCCATCTAAAATTATTTTCAATTATATTTTATCTGTGTGCTTTTTTAAAAAAAAATTATTTTTGTGTGCGTGTACCGTCAAATCAGATCTGACTGGTACAGGAGGAGATTGCCCCTCCTTCCCCGGCAGAGCATCTGGTGGATTCGAACCATGCACCTCTGGGATTGTAGTTGCAGCTTCTTGCCACTAAGCCACCAGAGCTCCCCTCTATCTGTGTGATCTTAAGATTGAGTTACACAGGAATATAAATACTGCCATGGAATATTATAGAACAAAACCTTAAAGAATAATTGATAATATTTTATGCTCTTGCTCAAGTCATTATTCCTAATACCAGGAATTATTGCTAGCTGAGATGGGATAATATGAATTTGTGTGGATGCAGTCTACTTTTTGAGGACACTTTGATAATTAGGGGTTTTTTTACCCACTTATTTATCCAGTTTTCTACACTTCATTATACCCAAGTTGACTTCATAGTCTTGTCTTAGAGTTGTTACATTCTCTACCGCACCTCCTATGACTTGGCTTTTGTAGGAAAACACAATTAAATGAATAATAAATGTGTTATGATACTCATCATCTTGTGCTCAACCTCTTGTCTGTCAAGAATACAGGGTTCACGCTCTCTGTAAAGGACATTGGTAAAGAGACTACTCAATTATAACATTATCTTTCTTGCTCAGGTGAGATTTCCATGGAAAAAGTGAAGGTGAAACGCTATGTGTCAGGAAAGAGGCCAGACTATGCCCCTATGGAATCTTCAGATGAGGAGGATGAGGAATTTCAGTTCATTAAAAAAGCCAAAGAACAAGAAGCAGAGCCTGAGGAACAGGAAGAAGATTCATCTAGTGATCCCCGTCTGAGACGTTTGCAGAACCGCATTAGTGAAGATGTGGAAGAGAGGTAAAGACAGACCTGGGTTGTGTTTCTTGGACTTGAACACCTATAGGTTAATTATAACAATATCAACAACAATAAAAATAGCTAATATTTTAGTCCTTAATATGTGCCAGCCTTTTCTCCAATTGCATTGCATTTACTAGTTCTCATGCTATGTCCAACAGCCCTTTGATTTAGGAATTGTTACCTCTGTTTTAAAGATGAGGAACTGAGGTGCAAAAGTATTAGCTAAGTAACATGACTGAAACTATTTAACAAGTAAGTGGCAAAGTAAAAAAACGCGGATGACCTCTAGTTCAAACTCTATATAACTTAAAGGACTTGAAAGTACAGCTGGTTTGTCAAGAAGATTCTTAAAATTTCAGAAAGTAGAGTTGTAAGAAGCTCTGATGGCCTAGTGAGTAGAGAGTTGCACTGCCAAACCAAAGGCGAATAGTTCAGATCCACCAGCTGCTTTTTGGGAGAGAGAGATGAAGTCTCCTCCTGTATAATTTACAGCATCTCGACGGTCAGCTATGAGTAAATTTCAGCTCATTGTCACGCAGCAACTTACTATAACAGGACAGGCTAAGCTTGGAGTTGATTCAAACTCATGTCAGCCCTCTAGCAGGTTATCAAGGCTGTAAATCTTAACAGTAGACTGCCTCATCTTTCTCCCATGGAGTGGCCGATGGGTTTGAGCTGCTGGCCATTTGGATAGCAGCCCAACACAATCTAGAGAAAGTTACAGTAGTGAAGTAGGACAAAGCCAGATAGATGGTATCCTATATGTGTTTTTTTTTCCATTTGAGCAGAACTTACAAAGCATATTGGTTTTTCATTTGATCATTCATAGGTGTTTTGTTTTATAACATTAATTATATTAATTAATTTACAGTGTCTACATTGCCTTTCCCTTCACCCTGCTCATCTGTTTACTAATTTTTTTTTTTTTTACATTTTATTATTTTGTTTGTGTACCATCAAATTGGACCTGACTGGTACAGGAGGAGATTGCCCCTTCTTCTCCAGCAGAGCATCTGGTGGATTTGAACCACATACCTCTGGGCTTGCAGTGCAGCTTCTTGCCACTAGGCCACCAGAGCTCCCCTGTTTACTAAATTTTTACTCCCCCCTTCCATCCCTGGTAAACTTTAAGATTATTTCTGTCATTGTTTAAACCTTTCTTTCGCTTTTTATAGTAGTGGTCTTATAATTGTTTTTCTGTGACTTAACATATATCACTTAGCATAGCTTTTCTAAAGCAACCCAGGTTGTGCAATATTTTATGAATTCTTGACCATTTTTCAGTGATAAATAATACTCTATGAATATACTAGGGAGAATTTTTTTAGCCATTCTTCCATTTTGTCAAAGTACTTACATGAGTTTATAAGCACACCTCAGCATACAGTTTGAGAACTGTAAATGAATACTGTCCTGTGAGATGTCAAGATACCCCTAGCTTAAAGTTTGTTTTAGGCTCAGCTTAACTATTTACTCTAACAATCTGATTTAATTTCTTTTATCTATGCCTCAGTTACCACATTCCAAAGCTTCAGTGTTGATGACACCAAACATAATGTATTGATACTCTGTGACTAAGAAAATATGACTTCTTCATTTGTGTAAAATTTAGTGTTAACCTTGAAGATGTTGTTTTTTCAGATTGGCTCGACATAGGAAAATAGTGGAACCTGAAGTGGTAGGAGAAAGTGACTCAGAAGTAGAAGGAGATGCTTGGCGCATGGAACGAGAAGACAGCAGTGAAGAGGAAGAGGAAGAAATTGATGATGAGGTATGATAAAGGAAAACAGTGAGTTCTCTCTGAGTATAAAAAGACATCTTAGGGCACATTCCATTTGACTAACTGGCTTGGACTTGTGATTTTCTAGGAAATAGAACGGCGCCGTGGGATGATGCGTCAGCGAGCTCAGGAGAGAAAAAATGAAGAGATGGAAGTCATGGAAGTGGAAGATGAAGGACGTTCTGGGGAAGAGTCAGAGTCAGAGTCTGAGTATGAAGAGTACACAGATAGTGAAGATGAGATGGAGGCTCGCCTTAAACCAGTCTTCATCCGAAAGTAAGTATTCAAGCCAGGTTTGAATCACCAGAGTATTTACAGCTTTCCAAATTTAAAGAAGCTGCTTATTTATCCTCTCCATGCTCTTATGAAATCTAGGTTGCTACATGAAAGTTTTTGTGTCCAGTCCCCAGCCCTGGAGTTATCTGCTGAGGAATGGCTTTTGTTAATGCAAAGCCTGGGTTTATCTCCACTTTTCTCTTTCCATTTAAAGAGCATATTCCTGCCTACAGTCTTTGAAAACACATTTAGACACAAATTAAACTTACAAAACAAATTCTGTTCCTCTCCTAATAGCTGGAGATCATGCTACTTAAATCAGTCCCAGTAGATTCCTTGAGCTACCCAGACAATTAAAGATGAATGAAATTTTGCAGCTTTAAACACCTGGAATGACTTGCCCGCCCCCTACCTCAAACCCTTTACAAGTAAACCAGAGATCGTTTGGTTTTCTCTAATTTGTATGGGACTTGGTCTAAAGAAATGAGGTGCTTCACCCTAGGGGCTTTGAGTAATTAACAGGACTTTTATGCTCTAGGAAAGACCGAGTAACAGTTCAAGAGCGTGAGGCTGAAGCATTGAAACAGAAGGAGCTGGAACAAGAGGCAAAACGCATGGCTGAGGAGAGGCGCAAGTACACACTCAAGGTATTGGGGTTTCTTTGAGAAGGGTTAAGTACAGACTAGTGTAATTAGGTTTGTCAGAGGAGAATAAGAAAGTTAAATAACAGAAATACTATTCCTGTCCAGATTGTAGAAGAGGAGACCAAGAAGGAGCTAGAAGAGAACAAGCGATCTCTGGCTGCACTGGATGCACTCAATACTGATGATGAAAATGATGAAGAGGAATATGAAGCATGGAAAGTTCGGGAGTTAAAGAGAATCAAGAGAGACAGAGAGGACCGAGAAGCGTGAGTATTAGGGTGGGCCTAGAGTTAATGGTAATTGAAAAGGTTTTTGAAGTTGTGGTTCTAAGGTGCCATAACCACTGTGAACTTCATTCGAGCCTTCTTCAGGGTCCCTTTGGCCGGCTAAGGTCCCGGTGGTTCGGTTTGTGCTCTAATTTTTAACTTAAAGGTTACCAGATTAGACCTACCCAGTGTTGCTGTGTAAAAAGGGACTAGTGATTTGCCTCTATAAAGGTTACAGCCAAGAAACCTCTTATAGAGTGGTTCTGTTCCTGCACATTGAGTACCATTAGTAAAAGTATAATACAATCCACAGCAACAGATTTGAGATTTTGCTTTGGGACTAGATGAGTTTCTCATAATTAGAATATGGCTTGTTATAATTAAGAATTGCCAGCCAATGTTCCCTTTAGTTTTCTATCGGATACACAAAAGTTGTTCGTTTAGCAGTTATTTATAACAGTCTGACCCAAAATTAAGTGACTTAAACACCCAATGAGTCCTCAACAATTTTGGAGCTGGGCAGAGCAATTTCATCTGGTCCTATCCATTTGCATCCAGATAGAAGGTTGGCAGGTCTAGAAGGTCCACAAAGACCTCCCCTTCATGTCTGAATGCTGATGCTGACTACCAGCTGGAATACCTCTCTTCTCCAGTACGTGTAGGCTTCTTTAGCAATCTCAGGGCAACATTCCAAGACAGTCAAGGTGTGGAAACTTGCTGAAACTTCAGTTCCAGAACTTATACATCATTTCTGCCACCTTTTATTGATCAAAGGTAACTTGGATTATGAGCAGCAGAAGGGGAATAAACTCCACCTGGAATTAGAGGGATCAGCAAAGTTACTCTACAAAAGAGCATTCATGCTATAGTGGGAAATATTTGTGGCACTAGATAGTACATTTGTTAGGTTAGAACAGTGGTTGTTTTGGTTTGGGTTGTTTTTTTTAATTTGTGTGTGTGTGCCGTCAAATCGGCTCTGACTGGTACAGGAGATTGTCCCTTCTTCTCCAGCAGAGTATCTGGTGGATTCGAACCACATACCTCTGGGATTGCAGTGCAGTTTCTTGCCACTAGACCACCAAAGCTCCCTTAGTGTTGTTTTTTAGCTACTTCGTGTAAGTTGCTTGGAATATTTTTAAGGTTCCTTATCATAGATCTTAAGAGTTTATGTACTCTCAAGATAGTGTGGAAAACTGTATGTTTATATGCGTTTTTCTGGAAAAATAAGATATCTGGGGGGGAAAAAGTCAAAGTCACTGCAAGCTAATAATAGTTAATTTTTTAAAAAAAAAAATGTATTTCCCTTTTGTGTACTGTCGAATTAGATCTGACTGGCACAGGAGACAATTTCTTCTCCAGCAGAGCATCTGGTGGATTTGAACCATGCACCTTCAGGGTTGGCAGCGCAGCTTCTTGCCACTAGGCCACTAGAGCTCCCTTAATCATTAATTCTTAATCTATGATATGTAAGCATACTTAGGATTCCTAAGAGTCTCAAAACAGCCTTACATAGAGTTACTTTAAATTCCCTTTGATTATTTTTTTAAGCCAAAATTACTTTTTAGGTAAAAGGAATTAGTAATATTGCAGAATCAAGTAGTAATAGTATGTCTGAGACTCAAAAAGACTAGAATTGACTTTTGGAAATTTGCAGTATGTGGTCTTATAAACACAACAGAAAAAAGAGATAGCACTATGGTATTTTCCATTACTTGGATGTTTCTGAAGCTGAAACAATACTAATAAATATATTTGCTCCCTGGACAGGCTCGAGAAGGAGAAAGCAGAAATCGAACGCATGCGAAACCTGACTGAGGAAGAGAGGAGAGCGGAGCTTCGGGCAAATGGAAAAGTGATTACTAACAAGGCTGTCAAGGGCAAATATAAGTTCTTACAGAAGTATTATCATCGGGGTGCCTTCTTCATGGTAAGAAATAAAAAGAGAATTGGAAAGAACAATAGGGGAAACTCACAACCTTTGAATTGTTTGCCCTTTCAAAGGTAAAATCTAGTCCTTAGGATGTTGTTTCCATTTGCCAGTAATCAAGTTTCCTCTTTTGATTTTTACTTCTGAGGAATAGCACTGAGAAAAGCACTGGCAACAAGATTGTGAAATAGCACTGTTTTGATCCAAGCACTCAGAAGGAAATGATAGAATAGATGAGTTAAGAAACAGAAATGGAGGAGTGGTCCATATCTAGACAAATTATTGTTACGTGTCAGAGTCAGAACCAACTCCTAACTGACCCTCCAGCAGATTTTCAAAGGCTGTAAATTGTGCGGGGGACATTGCCCATCCTTCTTCCATGGAGCAACTGGTGGATTCAAACTGCTTGCCTTTTGCTTGTAATGCATTTCCTTACACTTGGCCACCAGAGCAGAAACAAATTAAGTCCTCAGAATCGTTTAGATAGGATTACTTCATAATCAAATGAGAAGTTTGAGTAAAACCAGGCTTTGCAAGTAAGTGATGTAAGCTGCTTTATTATTTAGATTAACACAGTGGTAATTCTTTAATACAGTGATAGCTGGAGAAGGAGTGAGAAAATTAATTGCATTTGTTAATCAGATACAAGTACTCCATATTGTTATGTTGTTGTTAGGTACCATCGAGCCAAGTACGACTCATCGCAACACTATGAACAATAGATCAGAACCCTGTCCTGTGCCATCTTCACACTTCTTGACACAACAGAGCCCACTAAATCTTTAATATTCCCACTGTAACTGTATGTTTTACTGAAGTACTATGAAATTCAAAAACTTCATTGGCGATTTCTTTGTTGTTGTTGTTTTTAGGTGCTATCAAGTTTAGTTTGATCCATAGCGACCCTATGAACAATAGATCCTGACCCCTGTCCTATAAATAAGAGATTTCTTTAGTCCCTACTAAAATGTGAAAACAAGTTTCAGTCTGTCTTATCACCAGAAATGTTTATTATCTACTTCTCCATGCAATTTTCTTGGTTGGAGGCAGTGAAAATAGTTAACAACTTTCATACTTACTCAGAAATCATAAAATAGTTTTTACTTATGTATTTCAGCAGATTTACTAACAAGACTGTCTAGATAAGCTGTATTTCTGGCCAAGATGTATAATGAAAGACTTAGGCAGAAGTTAATCTTCTGGCACACATAATCAAATATAGACACTTCTCATCTGGATAGCCAGCATATCTAGAGCAAAATTGAAAGAGCATCTATAGATTGAAGGATTCAGACCCTAATAAGGAAAAAATAGAAAACATAGGAATTATTTCATTGTCTTAAATTTAAAGATCTTTTAGTCCTTGAAGAAAAAAGACTGCTACAAAAGTATGTTGTTGTTGTTGTTGTTGTTGTTGTTGTTATGTGCCATCAAGTCGCCTGCGACTCATAGCGACCCTATGTACAACAGCCCTAAACTCCACTCTGTCCTGTGCCAATCGCACTGTCTCCG